CCCCCCCCCTCCCCTCCACTCCACTCCACTCCATACACACACACATTATTTCCTTTTTTTTCGAAATTCCATTTAGAACTGCCTGTTTTTGAATGCGAAACTCAAAGTTATTGGGTTCGAGGCACCTCATTTGACAACGTCCCGCAGGATCGCAATTTCCGATATGTCGATCATCATTAACACATTAACACATTAGCATACTCCGTAGATTATGAACTTCAAAGCGGTGTCTCAGATTTTTGACTTTTTAGATCAAGCGCAATTACGCGTTAATTTCGTACGTTTGATTTTTCGATGATTGTGATTGTGAAAGAGCCAATATCTTTTAAATAAAAAACATTAAAAAAAACAAAAACATTTAAACCCAATAAGTTTTTGTGTTCCTAGACAATTGATGAAATACCCTGGCTTTCGGAGGGATTTTTTGCCCGCGAATTTACTGAGAGCGGCGGAAAAAAACCCTTCTGGTAACGGCCGTTGGCAACCTCAGTTCCGTGCAGTACCGCCTCACTTTCGTAATAATCCTCTTGTCAAACCGGTGTTTGTCTGGGCAGCTCAGGTATTGTTTATTTTGGTAATGCTGCAAGTGGCGCAGCGTGCCGTGAAATGTCAAATGGCGAGTTTCAGAACAGCCGACCTGGTCACTGAGGTTGGCAACGGCTGTGACCAGAGGATTTTTTTCGCCCCTCGCCACTTTCAGTAAATCCGCGAAAAAAATTCCCTCTGGAACCCAGGATATTTTTGAAATGTATTTCGAAAACATCGATTAACTTCAAGAAAATGTCAGAAGTTCAGAACTATGGACTTCAGAAAATGTTTAATTCGGCTCGCGCATAAAGTGGTCTCCACGAAGCCTTTTGCATCTTTATGACTGACTACTTTTCTCCCCTTTTAGCCATGATGTAGCAGCACCTTTATCACCAACAAACCAAGAAGTATCTTGTTATATCGACTACAATATATCCATGCCTCCACAAAATCTATGGAGACTAGTAGGTTTTTGAGTATTGAGCATTGAAGTTTTCCCTTTAATTGTCGACGCTTTGACCTTTATCGTTAACGGCCTGTGTGAGAGGCTGGGTTCTTAATTTTTATCTTTTTGTTTTTGTAACAGGAAATAGTTAATCCTGATTCAACCAACAAATGGATAACGATACAGTCTGAAATCCGATTCATTCACGTAAACACATCACAAGCACTTAAGGTAAACAAACTCAGTCCAACTTTACTGATGCATGAGTTTGGTTCCTAGTGGCTGAATGGGCCGCCCTGCCTAAATAAAGTTGATATTACATTACATTATAACCAGTACTGCTGTAAAGCATGTGGTGTTTTTTGCTTCTCTTTCACCTKCCGATGAAATTCCTCATTTCAGATTACAGGACTTCAGTTACCTGATTGGGGATTCAAGCAGTTGGAAGTTGCAACAGATCGAGTTATCAACCAGAAGGATACTTCCTGGAATGTGGAGGAACATCAACAGAATATTTCATATCGTAAGTTGTAATAATGTTTTAATAAGTTATGTTGATTACCTAGCATGAACTGACTCATGGAGCATATATCGAGATTTCGAGTCTTACCTATTTACCATCCACGGTTGTTATGGAAAGGATTATATCTCAATAACAATCTAATTACTAAGAATCTAAAGTTTTGATCGATTTTTTTCGTTTTAATTCGTTCAGAGCGTAAAAAACATTGCGCATTTTCAGTTCTTGATCACGCCAGCGTGTAGACCACGGGAGAGGCATAAATGTGTTTGGAGCTCTAACATTGATCAAAAATTAGCTAAATTGTAGCTGAGATGAATTGGAACRAAGTTAAGCATGGGTTTTACTCTTCGTTAAGCGGTTCGTAAAATATTTAAATTTAAAATTTTCAACATGACTTTGTAGCCTGGCCTTTTCACCGTTTTCAAAAATAAAGCTTAACTTTAATCAAAAAACGATCTATTTCACAAATGTTTAATATGTACAGATTTGAATCTTTTCCATAGCAACCGTAGCTGGTGAATAGGTAAGACCCCCCTTAAAGTTTGATGGTTATTGTAATTAAGTGGCCTTTGTTGTTATGGTTACACTAGAAGAATTGGAAAAAGCACAGGACTGAATAAGAATGGAACATTCGTTTTAAAAAATATCGTTTWAAAAAAAATATATTTAATATTTGTGATCATTTATTGCCCTATAACAGTATGTATTCACATTAAAACAGTCTCTTGTTTTAACGCTAAGGATTATGGTCGGTAGAGGGGGACAGAATGGTAAACGGGTATTCATTGAGCTTTGCGCTTCAAGTTATGCGTTTCGAGTTACGCGTTTTTCGAGTTACGCGCTCGTTCACACCCATTTGACGTCTTCACGCAGTGCGCGTAGTTCTATGTCATTAAGAAAGTTGCGTGAGTTCGAGTTACGCACTCGACTGCAGAAAGAGATCTTTCGTAGTCCGATTTACCCCCTAATGAATAAAGAATAAAGAAAATTTTTGTATTTACTTATTCAGTATATTCATTTTAGTTAATTTCTAGTCTAAAGTCTAGTCATTATCTACTTAACAATTTTCAAATTGGTTAGTTTTATGATACTTTTCACAATGAATTATAATTAAAATCGTCATTTGAAATCAGAAAAACTTTTACCACAAAATTTTACGATCATCTTCTTGTTCGTTACCTTGTTTGGCAAAATTAACTCCTGCTAATATATAGTTGGAGTTTATAAGTTCAACAGCAACACGAATATTAATTAAGTATTTCTATTGTATGTATGTGTCGTTCTCAAAAGACGAATATCTTATRTGGTATTCTGTAGTTGCTCCAAAGCCTTAACTGAAGGGAAGTTGATATTTTGATCAGCAGAAGATATGACATCCTCGTCAACAGCTAAAATATTTGCTGAAATATCATCGAGGTACGCGCACTGCGTGACAACGTCAATTTTGAATGTGGTCGAGCGCGTAACTCGAAAAGCGCGTAACTCGAAGCGCATAACTCGAAGCGCGTAACTCGATGAATACCTGTTCCCGACAGAATGACAACAACACAAAGAAAACAACTAAATAAAATTGCATTTACAAAACGAAGAAGGGAGGAATAAAAACAAAATACCATTAATATATGAGGATAAACATTGACACATAACATATATGGAAACTAGATATTTTGAAACCAAACTTTTGAAGAGAAAGAAGATTTAGTCGAAATTTTCATTGTTTTTATCGCGTAAACATGCTGTGACGTTATAACATTACAAGACAAATGAACCTCATGGCGATCTGTCATCTACTACAGACTGACACGTTTTGCGGCTTTAATTTTTTTCAACAAAATATATCCTGCCCGGCTTATACTTCTTTATTGTTGTTGTTTAGCTGAAGGTCATATTCCTGAAAAGAAAGAAAGTCCTACAGATGTACCTGCCGCTAAACCAATGCCTTTCTTTCGCAAGTTCTGGGAAATGCAAGTACGTCCTTAGAGAATCCTGGAGACTGAGAAAAAATAAAGAAACATAAACTTGTATAATGTAACAACAAACAGGCTTTGTGCAGTTAGACATGTGGAAATTAGCAGAACACTCGAGAAGTTTTGAACAGCACTCCGCTTGGGGTCTCCCGACCCAATCTCACTCTAACTGCACACAGCACGCTCTTGCGTTTTCAATTTTTTCAATAAGTATATTTTATTATAGTACACTCAACAAAATTACTCGACTCTGATTGGTCGAGAGGAGTACAATTATAGTGTTAATTGTACTCCGTAGGAGTACCGAATTAAGTCGCTATGGCAACAAGGCCAAAACAATGTCAAATCAATTATTTTCTATCATTTTGTACTTAAAAAACATAAATAAAATTTTAAAGCCGTAAGAACTAATATTTTTTATGCATTTCAGTTGCACGATGGACTGAAAATCGGCCGCCAAATAGACAAAGATGAACGGCGTCGCTTCGAATTTTTTACTGAAATTTTGTTGAGTGAACTATAAACAAAAAATCACACGATCTTCTCGTACAATTTGGAATTAATAGACACTCGTAATGTTTTGAAAGTTCTTTAATTGCACTCGCCTAAAGGCTCGTGCAATTATAAGAACTTTCAAAACATTACTCGTGTCTATTAATTTCCAAATTGTACTCGAGATCGTGCGATTTCCTATACAAATTGTACTCGAGATCGTGCGATTTCCTATACTAATAGGACTCCATGCTGTCCAATTAAAGTGCAAATGAACCCTTTGACAATACATTCAGTACTGGTTCTGCATGAAGTAAATAGTTGATTGGTAAAATATTTCTTGATTTGAGTGATGCGTCTTTAAGTTATGAAGGTTTATACTTCCAATATGTTAATGATGATGACGTCAGGTAAGGTATTTGAGTGTTTTTGTTGTAACTAGTAATACTAAATGCTGGCCATTTTGAAAATAAAAATTGTAAATAGCTTTCATGTAAACCATGAGTAAAATAATGATGCTTTTTAAATACTGTTTCTATGAACCAGTTCGATTTTGTATATTTGATTAAGCCTTAATAGACGTCACACTCATTAGCATATTGGAAGTATAAACCTTCATAACTTAGAAACGCATCACTCAAATCAAGAAATATTTTACCATTCAACTATTTACTTCGTGTAGAATCAGTACTGAAAGTATTGTCGAAGGGTTCATGTGCACTTTAAGAAATAATTAGACGAGGAAAATTCCGAGGACTTCCAAAATTGGATGAGGCCGTAGGCCAAGTCCAATTTGGCAGTCAGAGGAATTTTTCGCGTCTAATTATTTCTTGATTGGGGAGCATGAAATCCCATTAACTATTAATTATATTGCTGCCTAATTAATCCCATATTAAAAAGACCTGTCCAATTAAGAAAATAATTGGACAGTTACCTATATGGGATTAATGAGAAGCTGTATAATTAATAGATGAAAAAGGCAAAAGAAAAAAAACATTTGTATATCAATTTTTTTAGTTTGTTTAAGAAGATCTTTATTGATTTCGTACGCAGAAAAAAATGATTGAGTCGAATAAAGAACTGTCGGGTGAACATACCTTTAGTTCCACGCCATCCTATTGGCCAACCATGAAAAGAGGCGTGGCATATTGGATACACAAAAATTTAAATGTGAGTAACACTCCAGTTTCGAATTCTTTGTTCTACAGTCTTAGCCTCGATTCCATATGGAATTACTTTGAATATTCATGTATTTCAGTGAAGGTCCGTGAAATTTCAAAGTGTTTGTATTGTCGAAGTTGTGCATTTTTACCAATTTTTTTGATGTTTAAGTAGTTAACAAGATAAGAATGCATCCAACAGCCAAACTACAAATCGTTCAAGTTACCTTTAAGAATATCAATGAAATAACGATGTCTTATGATCAGTGTCTACTTTTTCTACAGATGCAGATTTACTGTATTGGTAACCCTATCGTATGGTGGATGTCTGCCTCTTCAGTAATTGCTTATGCTTTAGTTCTGATATTTTATTCGTTAAGAAGAAGAAGAGCAGTGTATGACATTGATAATGGTAATTTTTATATTTTGTCTATTTTATTTTTGTCGCATTTTACTGTAAAGTACTGCCTTTATGACTACATCTACAAATGGTTAGACTTTCTAGTGATCGGATGAGCACTTTAAATGACTGCCCCATCTCTCCACAACTGAACATTACTAACCAATATCAAAGGGACTTAAAAGAACCACGTAAAGAACACTTATCATTGACCAACCTCAGTGCCTACACCTCATATCTCATTTATATGTAAATATAAATCATTATCATTATTATCACATGATCATTATTATTATTATTATTATTATTAATATTATTTGTAATATCAGTTTCTTTTCCTTAATCCATATCATGGTTAATCTGACACTTATTATATTGATTATTTTAGACGCCTGGGACAATTATTGTTTTCTTGGTCATCTTTTGGTCATTGGCTATTTTCTACATTATTTCCCGTACTTTGCTATGGAGCGTACACTATTCATTCATTATTACCTACCCGGATTGTTATTCAAAATAATCCTCTTATGTGTGGTCGTTGAGCATTTCTACAATTACATTATCGTGTAAGTATATTTACAAGAATCGTAACGTCTACCACAGGGAGTTGAGATAAAAGTAAAAGTTGAAAATATATTCTGAAAACCTGAATAATTAATTATGTTTTTAGTATGAGGTTAAGATAATGTTTGTCCGTAATACGAAAGAGTAAAAAAAATGGATAAAAAATTCACTACAACTGATTTTTTTTTTCGCCCGAGCCTTTTTTTCCCTTTATAATTCCCCTATGGTATCTAATGTCGTTGATATGTATATATACTCTGAGGGACCAGTCATTATTTAAGTCGGAGGGGGGAGGGGGTGGAGGAGCCATGAAAATGGGGGGGCCCTCATTTTTTTTAGTAGAACATGGGGGGTCTTAAAAGGTCAAAAGGAGGATTTGGAGAATTTTTTAAACGATTGAAGGGGGAACCCGAAAGACATGAATGCTATTAGGCTGGGGTCTGGACATTTTTTTGCATCAAAAACATATTCTCCTCCACCCCCGCCTCCCCCCCCCCTTTAAACCTCGAACTTAAGATAACTTTATTTTCCTGATCTCGGTCGTTAATCCTTCCCTTTRAAGCCGTCAATGCATTGAAAAACACCCCTAACAATCTCAGAGAGTCTTTAGCTGTTGAACACATTGCCTTAGTATGCTAGCCCAAACGTGACAAAACTTCAAGTTGCATTTTTTCATGATCAAGCAGTACTTTTTATACATCAAGTTGATTTTCATTACACCAAGGCCCTTGTGTTCTATGTCTAGTCATTTGTTTCGCTTGTCTAGTCATTTGTTTTTGATATCAAGCGCAATGTTTAAGTTGACAAGCAGCCAGCCATCACAATCAAAAGTCATTTAGGTCTTTGCGATTTGCATACAAAAGGAACGCTAGAAGCACCCAGGAGAAGATTGATTTCGATCAGCTTGCGATCGATGAACGCGCTAGGTCTGGAAGCTAGTCGCAGGGCGGGAGGAGGGAACACGTGTTGGAGGAGGGAGGGCGTTGAAACGGGCATGGGCACTACTCTGCCTGTCAACAATGGCGGACCGTTTGTGGAGGAAGTTCGGCTGACAAGAAGATCTTTCAAAGGTAAATTTAGGCTTGTTTATCTTTGTTTTTAGCCAATAAAACAATTTTTAGACATGATAAGAGTCAAATGTAGACTAGCGAATCGATAGCGAAGTTGACATACGTTGAACAAAAATGGAACGAAATGATCGGAAATTGTGACATTTCTCCAGACAAATATGCACACACTGCTCTTCAGCACATTCTTTTTCACTTTTGGACCGTTAAAGGTAAAACATCTAGCAATCTTCAGGTCAATTTTTATCTTATCTACATCATATAGAAGGTGTACATACTAATAAATTCCCTAGCGCTTCGCTAGTCTACATTTGAGATGTCAAAAAACCAATCTTGCTCAAATTTGCTNTTTGGCTTTATTACAATGTTTTCCAAAACCTAGTTTATATTTTTTTGAAATGTTTATGTAGTGTTCTACTTATGTGAAAAAAATCAGACTTAGCAAATTTGAGCAAGATTGGTTTTTTGACATCTCAAATGTAGACTAGCGAAGCGCTAGGGAATTTATTAGTATGTACACCTTCTATATGATGTAGATAAGATAAAAATTGACCTGAAGATTGCTAGATGTTTTACCTTTAACGGTCCAAAAGTGAAAAAGAATGTGCTGAAGAGCAGTGTGTGCATATTTGTCTGGAGAAATGTCACAATTTCCGATCATTTCGTTCCATTTTTGTTCAACGTATGTCAACTTCGCTATCGATTCGCTAGTCTACATTTGACTCTTATCATGTCTAAAAATTGTTTTATTGGCTAAAAACAAAGATAAACAAGCCTAAATTTACCTTTGAAAGATCTTCTTGTCAGCCGAACTTCCTCCACAAACGGTCCGCCATTGTTGACAGGCAGAGTAGTGCCCATGCCCTTTTCAACGCCCTCCCTCCTCCCGCCCTGCGACTAGCTTCCAGACCTAGCGCGTTCATCGATCGCAAGCTGATCGAAATCAATCTTCTCCTGGGTGCTTCTAGCGTTCCTTTTGTATGCAAATCGCAAAGACCTAAATGACTTTTGATTGTGATGGCTGGCTGCTTGTCAACTTAAACATTGCGCTTGATATCAAAAACAAATGACTAGACAAGCGAAACAAATGACTAGACATAGAACACAAGGGCCTTGGTGTAATGAAAATCAACTTGATGTATAAAAAGTACTGCTTGATCATGAAAAAATGCAACTTGAAGTTTTGTCACGTTTGGGCTAGCATACCTTAGCTTTTTTGTTTTATGKTTTTGTGCAAACATAGGTTAACTTTTCGAAATTTTTAAAAATAAAATCCAAAGGGTCGCTTCGAAAAACATTCCGTCATCTATGTGTCTGTCTTCTTATTGAATATAGCTGTCGGCCAATCAGAACGTGTTAGATACGTCGAGCTTGATTACTTAACTATTGTCTGTTACTGGATTGTCTAAAAATGTCGGACTGCTGGATTACTTATAAGTAATGTCATATCCAAAACCTTTTCCAAAATTCTGTTGTTGTTTTTTTCTCATAAGATAATTTCGATTTCAAGGTACGTTTACCATTCATCAGAGTAGACAAAAGAACCCTGGCTTAATCTATTCGTTATTAAATGATGGTAATTGAACTGAGTGGAGTGCAATTTGGACCAAAATCATACGAGTGATTACAATATATTTACAATTTCTTAATCACTATTTTGATTTTTAAGTATAATTTTGGTCCAAAATTGCACGACACGAAGTTCAATTACCACTTAATCATTTTATTTTTTGTAATCATACACATGACTACATGACTACATGACAAATATATATTTTTTTCTGCTCTTTTGTTAAAAAATCTATCAAAAAGTGTGAAAATGTCCCAATTCACGGAGAAAAACACTTTGCAAACGCGTTGAAAAGGCTTGTTTCATTCTCTTTTCTGATTGGCTGAATAAAAGAATTATTTTCTGTGATTGGTTATTTCAAAAAGATGGATGGATTTGGGAATTAATCGCACTCCTTTGAACCAATCAGATTGCAGGATTTGGTAGTGATTACAAAAAGGATATGATTAAGTAATATATCATGAATATGTGAATATGTGTGCAGATTTTACAGTTAAATATTCAATTGTGATTGGCAAATTTTGTATGAAATTTTGTTTCGGTGGCCTTGGCTTGTGTAAAGACCGGCGAAATTGCTAAACTTGCATCATGCAATGGCTACTTTTTTTAAAATACGAAATCCAAAGACGCCATAGACCTTTTTGATAGCAAACATTGATTGGGCTCTAGCTTCGTTGTAAACATCTTTTGTTTACCATGGTGTCGCTTATACCGAAACTAAACCACAATGCATCGTGTTTATAGAACTCATCAAGATTTGTTTGGTGTACTTGGAAACTTTATGATAGAGTTTTTTTTTGTAGCGAACTAATGCATTAAAATGTTTTTGTTTTCCAGGAATCGTTATATTCGGTATGTCATGCTGACAGTGTGTACTCTGCTATGTGTGGCTGTCGTTATTACATACCATGTTTTCAGTCCTTTCACTTATGGTCATGTCGCACTTACGTCAGCGGAAATTAATCGACGACGATGGCTGCCATTATGGGATATGTTATCGCACTCAAACACGTGACCCGACCTTACCGTAAAGTTTTGTTAAGGTGGCTGCCTACTTTTGAACGTTCGATTTGAGCCCACGATGTGCGCGCGCTCAAAAACCGCTGAAAAATCTACAAGATTTTATT